CGGCCGGCCAGGGCCGACATAGCACCATCGGGACCTTACGTCTCCGACGGCGCCGAATTACATCAGGCGCGGGCGCGAGGCTCTCATAGCCGCCAGCAGCCCAGCCTGCCACGTCGTGCACACCATACAGCCATGGGCCGAGGGTGCGTGTCTGCACCGGCGTTGCCACCAGCGCGCCATGGGCGCCTGGGGCTTACCAGTGCCATCCGCCATCGTGACGCCATTGATCGCGGTCGTCTTGACGGCGATCTTCCCAGCTCTCGTAACCGCCCTTACCGCGTTTATCCTTGCCCGGCCCTTTGCTTCCGGCACGGCTGGAGGTGCCCTCCAGGCACTCCAGGCGCGGTCAATGGGGGGTCGGCTTTGCCTCCTTTCGCGCCATGGGCGCCGTTCGGGCTCAGGGCTGAAGTGCTGGGAAGATGACGACGCGGCGCCACTCTCTTCGGATTGGCGGACGTCGGCAAAGTGGCACGGACGCACCGAGGGAGGGGATCCTGTGCGACTGCCCCCCCCCTTCTCTCGGGGTCGCTTGCCCTTCCCCGTCTCTGAAGCCTCCGGGGGCGGCGGGGCAGCGCCACTCGATGAGCTGCCTTTGCAGTACCCCTTTTCGTGAGAACGCGGCCGCTCTGCCCCTCTGTGCACACGAGGAACTGAAGGGACGCTTGCGGCTGACGGAGCGGGCTGCCCGGGCTGTGGTCGCCGGGGGCTGGCGACGCCGCGCTTCTCCTGCCATGGGCACTCGTGAGGTGGGGCGCTCTTCGTCTGACTCAGGCGACGCCACCCCATGCTGTTGCCACATGCTCAATGCGCACACCGCAGCCTCGCACACGTGAAGCGGCCACAGCTCGACGGCTGCGTGCTGGAAGCTGTCCAGCGCTGCCCGCTGGCCGCGTCTGATCGCTGTGGCGTGCGATCTTTTAGGTACTGCATGCACGCCTCGATCTCGCGCGCGCCAGCGGAGACTTGCGGTAGGTCCGATCGATTTTGATAGATGTCCCTGTGCATCATTTCCAACATCTCGCGGCGCGCGCTCAGGATGTTGAGCTCGCGCACAAATGTAGTGCGGAACTGGCCCACTTCTTTGAAATGAACACGCATGGCGTCTTCATCTGCACTATCTGCATCAATCTCCGTCCAAACGAAGTCCTTGGTCAATTCGGCGGCGACCCTGTAGGCTTGTTCTGACATCCGCTTTGTTTTGACGTTGAAAAGGTCTGGGTCGTAGACGAAGAACTCGGGCGGCTCGTACCACATGTCGCGTATCTGTGCCTCACAGGAGGCAACGGTAGTCGCCTGGTGATATTGCTCAGGCTCGTCATGGGCGTCGAAGTGTGCAACGAGCTCGTGGGCCACCCTCTTGATGCGATACTTGTTTCTTGATAGCCTGACGTCATCATGGTGAATGTTACGGTGAGTCACGCGAGAACTGTTCCGTCTGCGCATGGCGCGACCCCCGAAAGCTCTTGGCGCGTCCTCTAATCGAACACGTCGCTGACTAGTCGATCTGCCACGCCTGCCACAGGCATGAGGTGGCGGCCGTGCCGAGGCGGGACGGCGTGCACGCGCGTCCCGAATACGTTATGCTTCCTCTTCTTCTTCCTCGATGCCGGCCATCTCCTCCTTCGGCGACCAGTGAACTTCTATTTCCTCTTGAATGTCTCGCCAAAGCTGGTTGAGTCCCGGCGGCATGCGGTCGCGATTTGCGTGACACCACCAGGGCCAACGGGCAGTTGGATCAGCGCCCCCCCGCGCCTCGGGGTCCGCGTTGTCCCAATCAAAGAAGCCGAGGACGCCCATCTCCGTGCTGAAATCGGACTGGTCCACCTGTCTTGAAAATATGTCCACAACTTCCATGGTGGGCAAGTCGCTTTGTTGCCGGTAGATTCCCAGCCAAGATACTCCTGGTACATCATCCACCGTCGGGCTAATTTGTGCCCCTTGACCTCACGCCAATTATTGCCATGGGCAGGGCGCTTGTCATTCGGCGATGAGGGAATCCAAGCAAACACGGATCTTTCAGCCGAGAGTGCAGCTGTCTTCCCCGACATAGCAGCGTAATAGCGCGAGGGCGCGCCCTTGGAGTTGTCAGATTTCCAGTTGTCTCGCCAACGCGCTTGTGTACGATCCGAGTTCTGTATCTGAGCTGCCCTTGTCCGCTGCCTGCTACCGCGCTCATGGAGCGGGCTTCCAGGCCTCGGATCTCTAAGTAAGCCGGCATTCCTCCCATTCATTGCAGGCTGAAGTCTGTTAGGTTGCCATGGAATCGCCTGGTAAATGATCTCCTCCAAGCATACTGAGCAACCCATCATGCCATACCTGGACTTGTGCCCCATGTGGCAAATAAGACATACGTCATCGTCCCAACCAGGCGGCTGCCTTACTTCCTGGTACAGCGCAGCGTCGACCCGGTCCTCCCAGTAGCCGGATCTTATGAACTGGTTGGGCTCTAGGACGTCGACGCAGCCTGTCCTGTGTGCCTGGGCAGAACCTGAACCATGGTCAGACGTCGATCGTAGGTGACGTGCCACGAAATCTTCTTACCAGGGGGTTCTGACATTGCGAAGATCTGCCAGATGATGTTCCAATGTGGGATTTTATCCGTGAAGTTCTGTCCTGTCGGCAAGATCCAGCGCGGGTGGGCTTCCAGGTGCCTTGAGCTCATGGTAGCCAGGTACTTGCCGTCAAAGCCGGACAAATGGAAGTCGAGCACGGATATGTTGGTGCCCCCGTCAAAGTCTTTCGGCACGTCGCCCTGGTGAAGGAATGTCGGAAAGTTGGTGGCTTGTTCAAGACGGACTCGTTGAGCATCTCGACGAACCAGTGCTTGTGCCTCCTGGAAGCATGGTGGCTCGGACACGTCCTCCAGCGCCAGCGCCTCAAGATCATGGATCTTTGACGCATGTGGAGAAAGCGCGACGGTATAAGCCACAGTGTCGTACTGGCGGATGCCGGTAGCTTCGTCATACGAGGGCGCCACTCGACCTTTCCGACTGCGTCGAACGTCGGCAGCAGTCAACGGTATCAGCAGGGCCCCATGCTTCTCGCACATGCTGGGATCATACCGTACGTTCCGTCGGCATGGACTGATGACCCTCAGCGAGTCGCCGTACACGGCCCTGATGAGGAGCGGTCGAGTCGTTAGAACCACGAATGTCTGCTCTGCCTCACTCTCCGCCAGGGATGTGTCTGCATCTCCGTCGACCTCGGATGCCCCGACACCTTTGCGGGGAACTTCGGCGAAGCTTGCATCCCAGTCAATGGGACGGCGGGATGTTGGGCCGTCATCTGCCGTGTCCATCTCCACTCCCAGCATCTGGACATCCTGTGGGTCAAGCACGGAAATCGCGCGCATGAATCTTGCCCACGGGCGGTCAAAGCCGACGTCTGTCATTCTCATCAGTAGATCCACTTCCACCCATCCTCCCGAGCTCAGCACATGGGCCGAGCTGCGGCGGAGGAGGTGAACAATTAGCCCACCAAGTCGAAGAGCCTCACTGCGCCCCACTTCGCTCGCGGTGGCGTAGAGCTTTGGGCGTGAGTGGGGATACATGGGTACCAGAGCATGGTCCGGTCCAGGCAGATTGCGGCTCTCAATCGCATTGTATTGGGCTCGCAGGTATCTTTCCACCCTGGATCGCTGGGGCGCGGGCAAACGCCGGATGTAATCTAAGAGCGGGTCGGCAACGAAGTCTGCGTAAGTGGAGAGCCCGTCGCTGATAAGTGCTCGGCCCAGCCGTTGGCAGGGTAGCACGGGCCCGCTGTAGTGAAGTTCGTCTATGAGACGAGCTCGCGCTGGGGGTATTGCTGTGAGGTTTTCTCGCTTGAACTCGGGCGTCGCCAGAGGACCGCGTCTTCCGTGGTCGAGAAAGCCTTCGTAAGTCAGCTCTTCATGTTCGAGTCCAAGATTTATATGATCAGCAACACGATCACGCCGTGTCCAGAGCCTCCCAAGCTCTTCTTCTGATATATGTTTGCTTCTGGGAAACGGCAGCGCGTCGTCGATCAAGAAGTAGTCCCTGCCAAATGGGGACCCTTGTTCAGCGACATATGGTCGGGTCGCGGGATCAATTTGCATGACCGCGACGTCAGCATGGCCGGTAGCTTTCACGGACCCTTCTCCTTCTTCTGACATGTCGTCATCATGATCGTCGCCGCGTGAATACGCAGGTTGCCGCGTTCCATTATCCTGGTCGGATGCGGACTCTTCCGAGCTCGCTTCAAGGTTAAACTCGGCAGTCTGCTAAATGCACCACCTTTCGTATTCTCTCTTCTCGTAATCGACGATTTCGGGTAGTGCTCCTGCGCCATGGGCGTCTGCCCATCGGCTATACATGCGATGCCTCGGTGGGCATCGATCCCAATGTACAGCTGTCCTCTGCGGCGGTTGACAGTGGCCGCATCGACGTGCAAGGTAGATCTTCGCGTCTTGAGAAACGCCCATATTGGTTGTCCTAAAACAGCCAATCGTTGGACAAATGTAGATTTGATCAATGAGGGATGCGGATGGTGATGCTGTCACGCTTACCCTGTGCATGGACACGAACGCAGCCTCAGGTAGGGGCGGAGGCTGAAAGTCCGGCGCCCCCTGACGGGGATCTCGTCGCTGTCCAGGAGGCATCCCATCAGGGAACTCGAAGCGCGGTCGCTTGCGATCCGCAGTATACGGGCGCTGAAATCCAGCATGCCCAATGTTGCCCCAGCCAGAACGTCGCCCTCCCGATCGGGATTCGCGTTAATCCTTTGCCGCGTCCTGAACCATTGCCTCACGGCCTCCACGGCGCACAACGCTTCTGGACCTCGGCGACCCATGGAGCTCGACACTGCGTGGGACATGGCCCGTGGCAGGCTGATCAGATCTTCCCTTTGTTTACTATTTTTTTGTCGCGGAAGAGCTTGCAGTCGTTGTCTGAGATCCTAGGCATGGACTCATCCATTTCCATCGTCCTCAGATCTGGGCGTTCTCGTGGTAGGCCGACTTGGGCGAGGGGAGTAGAGATGTCCTGAAGGCCATGGGCCACGAGGATGGGCGCATCGAAGTGCTCGGTGATCAAAAGGTCGGAGTACAACTCACGGTGCATCCAGTCCCCGAATTCCAGGAATCGTAGGTGTATCCTCCTCAGCTGGTCGAACTCGGCAACATTATCCTTCTGTCTCGTCGATTGAAAGAGGCTTCGCACCTGCCTCCGCACGGTTGCCCTCTCGAGATCCGTGCGAGGCTGTTGCATTAGCATCTGGTCGGTTATCGCGTTATCAATCTGCCACTGCGCAACATCTTCCTCTGGAGCGGGAGAGGGGCCCACAAGCGCCTTGTAGTCCATCTCGTAGTGGCGGGAATGCTGCGGATGAAAAACCCAGAGCTGTCGCTGGTTGGCTTGACTGGAGGTCATGAAGTACAGTCTTAGCGACTTCCTAACTATGAGTTCAGGCCTGTCGCACACGCATTGCTTCTTCCCCTTCGTCTCCGCGTCGATGGGGCGGGAACCACCTGTTACCGCCAGCGGGGCTGTGACCTTGAAGTCCATGATTACTAGATTGCCGTCGCTCCAGAGTTCCGCGCCATGGCTGTAACGTTGGTGAAATTCGTAAATCATGTCGGTCTCGCCGAAGGCATATACTCCTTCAGCAAGACGCTTAACCTTCGCTTCCTGCTCAGTCTTGACCCTCCAACCCCATCTCTCCCTGAAAGGGAGGAATAAACCAGTGTTCAGGAGCGCGTAGAGCTTCCGGACGTCTGTGACATGGGGCAAAGTTTCCCACTCTCCCCGCCTGACATAGTCATGGACACCGTCAGGCCATAAGAACGGAATCTCCAGCATGGCACAATATCCATGTTCAACAAGTCGCGCTTTACCCCAATCGAACAGAGCAGAGCACGACAGATTCGCAAATGATGAAGTGTGCAGACGCCACGTGACCAAGTACTCGATAGCCGTTCTCTGGCAGCACTGCGCCGTGCTACGTGGAGAACGCGCCAGGCGCATTCTGGCCAGCACCCACTCACGAGCGGCCACACGTCCTTTCAGCCCATCGTACCAGTCATCGGCCTCGTAGAACTGCTCGACGAGATGGAATTATTCGACTGCGCGCTGCCTCTTCCGGGGTATTAGCCTCATTTCGTAGTCAACGATCTGGCGGGGTCCTACTATAGTCTCTACGTGAGGCAGGCTCTCGGACCCAGCCCTCAGCCCTTCGACCACAGCTGTTTGATGATCCTCATACGCGTTGAAGAAGTGTGGACATGGTATGCGACCACTGCCGAAGTTACAGACGATCTGTTCCTCACGGCCCGTAATGGTAGAGCGGTGAAGAACACTCTGGATGATCGCTTCCCAGAGGGGTTTTCCAATAAGGCCAGATCCCGACGACGATGGTGCTCAGGTCGTAGCTTTCGTCGCTTCTTTCACGGTCGGCGCCGCTGGTCTGCGAGACTTTGCCGTGAACAGCAGGGTCGTTCCTTTTTCGACTGCCCCAATCACATTCTTCATGTTGTGGTTGAAGGGCAAGGCCTCCATGGGAGAGCCTGCTTCCAGTTCCATTCCGTAAATGTCCACCCCGTCGTCATACGGCACTGTAGTGTAGCGTCGGTCCGCCCATGCCTGCCTGTCGTCATGATGTTCCACCAACCATGATAAGAAGTCCTTCGAGTTTATGTTGGCGGACTCGGGCGGCATGTATTGCGGCGCTTCAATATCACCGAATGGTAGCAACTCCCCCACCTGGCAGCGCACGTGGCGGCCGCTGGTGGACATGACATGGCTCATCATCGGACCCTGCGCGCCTGGGGGCACGGGTACCGGAGCTGAAGCCGTCGGCGGAAGGGGCAGTCGGTGGCGGAGGAGGAACCGTAGCCGACGCGGCGCCAAAGGGACGATCCGCCACGTCAAACATGGGGCAGCACAGCTCGTAGCACACCTTCGCCGCGTTGATTATGTACTTGGCGAAGTCTACAGCATACGTGTAGTTCTCTCCTCCCGGGAGGAAGTGCCAGTTGTCGCCCTCCGGGTGTTCTCCTCGGTGATAGCTCCGAGCCGCGTAGTAATAGCAGCCTGGGGTTTTGGCCAGCCTCCTGGTAGAAGTTGATCCTGTTCTGTCCCCATGAAAATACGCGGGACGCGATAGTGTCCCAGATGCGGCGATGAGATCCTCCTTTGATCTGATTCTAGCTCTGCCCATCGCCCAGAGCGAGCATCACGAGCACGTCGCCCGTAGCATTGGCGACATACGCCTGTTCGTCCACGACGTCGTCTATCATGGATAGAGCGTCTCTCTCCACCTCGTCGTAATCCGAGCGCGTGTCTTCTCGCCTTGCCCCCTTCACTCGACCGTGGACACCGTCGTGGTAGACGCACAGCTCGTTGCCGTTCCATATCATAACCCGACATCGGGTCTTGCTGCGTCCAAGGGGCGCCTCCCAGCTCATGGAACGTAGGTTGGCTCGGAAAGCGCCCAGGCTTCCGCCGTTCTTGGCGTGCACGCGCTCCCCTGACGAACGACCTTCCAGTTGTTGCTTTAGGGCGGCATTAAGTTCTGGACTTCCTTTGGCGTTTAGGAACGCTATCGTGGAGTCGGAGGAGACGAGGTATTCCACATCGTTGAACATCCGTTCACCCTCGTACATGTCAGCCCCGATTTTGCCTGTCCACGTTTTCGTCGGGATAGGCCTGACCCACGTCGAGTGCGGCATATCATAAGTCATAGGCTGCGTCAAGGTAGATCGTTCCCCCCGAAATGGGAGAAGGAATCCCCGCAGCCTTGATGAGGCTAATGAGCGCAGCACACGCTCGAGGGAAGTCGGGCCTGGCGAAAGCCGTAGCAGCCTCTGGCTTGATGACGTAGGCGAGGGCCTTGCCTATCGATTTCACTGCCGCGACGTACTCAGGCCTCGGCCCTTTCGGCGGCAAGGCGTTCAAGTCCAGACGAGGATCGGGTCTGCCCTCCTTCTTGTAACGTTCATAACAGTATTCGATGGCGTTCCAATAGCCGTGTACGCCCACTTTGTCAGCAAGAGCGCACTTGTTCCGCTCCTCTGCCGTCTTGGAATCGTCGGCTTGCGAGCGGCCAGCCATGGGCTGCTGACCCGGTACTGTGGGCATGGCCCTGGGTACCTGCACTCCCCGTGCCCTTCAGATCACTTTGTGGACGGTCTGGTCAACTTCTGTCTTCTCGGGAGGTGGGGGGTCCTCGACGACATGGTCGTCCGGAGTCCCCGTGCCTTCCTCCTGAGTCGGCTCCAACTTCTCCTCTTCTTTCTGTGGCGAGTTGGGCTCCATTTCCACGTCGGGCAGGTCCTGCTCCTGCTCCGCGTGCTGCAAAGGTTCTTCGTGAATTTCCTCGGGGGTCGGCGTTCCGAGGTCGGGCGGCATCCAATCGTCCGAGTGAGGTGACGCCGGGGCTCGCCGTTGTTGCTCTTCAGTAGCAGCCGCCCTGGCATCCTCGTTCCTGGAGTCGGCGGAGACGCTGCGTCAATCCTGACGACGCCTCAGTCTCGCAACCGCCAATCACCTGCTGATCCATGCCGTCCGAGCCATGGGCTGATGCACGGGTTGGAACCTCCACCTCCGGGGGGCGATTGGCCGCCTCCTGCTGCTCGCGCGCTCTGAGCGGGCGTTCTTCCAAAGCCGTCCAGTTTTCGCTTGCGTAGTCACCAGGCGCCTGCTGCTCCCTGCCATCCGCACGGGCCGCGTCCTGACCTGGGTGGTGTACGCTAAGCGCTGCCTTCGGCCTCGGCAGCGTCGTCGGCGGGGGCTTGCCCTGTCCCCCTGCAGATGGGGGGCCGCCCGGGGGTGGCGCCAGCGGCGTACGACCGCCCGACGGCCGTGGCTTCCACCCCCGGGGGCGGAGGCTTCCCTGTCGGCAGGTTCGAAGGGGGTTCCTTCCGCGGCGGCGTCTGCGGAGGCGGAGCCGTCGAGGTCGGCACCTGCCGCGGAGGCGCTCTGGGCGGCGCCATGCCCTGAAGAGGCGGCTTATAACGCGGGGCAGTACACGGGGCCTGGGGCTTAGGAGCGCGACCCTCGCCATGGGCGTTGGAGGGCGGAGGCGCGCCGGGGGCCTGAGGCTTCGGCGCTGGCCCCTCGCCATAGGCGGCGTGGGGCGGAGGCGCGCCGGGGGCCTGAGGCTTCGGCGTCGGCCCCTCGCCATAGGCGGCGCGGGGCGGAGGCGCGCTGGGAGCCCGAGGCTTCGGCGTCGGCCCCTCGCCATAGGCGGCGCGGGGCGGAGGCGCGCTGCTTCGGCGAGCGGCCTTCGCTAGATGCGTGACACGGCGGAGGTGCGCCGGGAGCCTGCGGCTTCGGCGGGCGACCTTCGCCAAGGTCAGGACACGGCGGAGGCGCGCCGGGAGCTCGCGGCTTCGACGGGCGGCCTTCGCCATGGGCTGTGCACGGCGGAGGGGCGCCAGGAACCCGAGGCTTCGGTGGCGCCTTCCGCGGCGGCACGCCACCAGGAGGTGAATTCGGCGGCGGCGATGGAGGTCCTCTCGCCGTCGGTCCTCTCGAAGACTGTCCTGAGCCTTCCGTTCTTGTGCGATTCCAGCGGCTAGAGGCAGGGCCATCCCCGGGCGGTACATGGCACGCTGCCGAGGGGGCCGCCTTCTGTGCTATGTTTGCACGCTCCGCCATGTCGTCGCGCCTCAGCTGCTCACGAAGGTTGGTGCACGCCGATGGCGCAACGTAGAAGGGACTCGTGTCGAACGCACAGTCGGGAAGGCCCCGTAGGCGGCGCCGGTTGCGGTCAGAAGACACATAGTCCGAGCGCTTCAGCCACTCGTAATGCACAAGGCTGTCTGCGCACTCGACCTCGTAGTCCTGTCGGCGTAATGCCTGACGACCCTCCAATGTGACGAAGGGCCACGGGTCGCCCTCCCACGCGGGGCGATTGGGCGGGCGCCGAGCCCCGGGGCAACTCGGGAATTCGCTCACGCGGGCCCACAGGTCGTCAAAACTGGCCCCCTCAAAAGAGGCCCCCTGTCCGACATCGTGCAGTAGCATCCTCTTGCCAAGCACGCTCTCCACGATGGGCTCGTTCTCCCTCGTAGGGTAGCGAACGCGTGCAACGGGCCCTAGCTGAACCGCATCAGGAATGCCTGCCGCGCCAGTCCAGTCGACACGGTCGCGGAGCGCGGCGTGGATGGAGTAAAACCTGTCGGCGATGTTTCTGCGAAGTCCCGTGGGCCTGCACTGACCCACGTGATCCCAGATCGGCTCCAAAAACCACTAGAATAACTCCTGGGGCGTTTTGCGTTCCAGCACCTCGTAGAGCTTGTCGGTCGGTTCCTGGAACCACGCGAAAAGCAAAGCTTCGTTATGCTCGCGGGTGGGGAATGGCCGGGTCATGCGGCACTCCATGGGAGCTTTCGCATCCAACCAGGGCGTCGTGACGACGGCGCTAAAGTGGTCGATCGTCCGAGGCCCACCCATTGCACGGGGAACCTCCCAGACTGAGACCTTGCCTCGGAGGACAGGGAGATGTTTGCCCTTTATGAAAAGGCTCCAATCCCCCCACCCAGGGAACGTTGCCGGCACTGGCAGAGTTCTAGATAGCATGATACATATCCTGCGGGAGGTGCACCGTGGGTCGAGAAATCGGCCTCTTGAATATCTGCGCGAGCAATCCAACTTCATCGAGCCCATTGCCAGGCAGCCTTGCCAGCCTGTCCGTGTGCATGACACGATGCACTTCGCGGAACTCGTTTGTCAGTGCTTGCCCTGGTTGGACCCCTAGCGCGGGTGTCATCGTGCCCCCGTGTTCGTTGCTCTCGTCAGCTCCTTGAGTCGTCGTGAAGTGCTGCAGCTGAACCTCATGCCATTGGCCATTCGGTAGTGGAAACTGATTCGGACGATACTTGTTGATCTCCGTTGCACACCCCGAGCGGCAACGACGCTCAAGACGAGAATATCCCAATATATTCTTGAAGAGATGCAGGAGATCCGTTGATTCTTTGATGAGGTTCGCGAGCTTGTCTTTGTCACTCATGTCCGTAGAACGTAGGATCTTCACGATCGGTTCGCACCCGAAAGCGCCCGGGCAATCCCGGCCGTTCTGGAACATCTTGCCGCAGAACCCGCGCAGGCCGCCGTGCGCGATGCAGGACATGGTCCTTACAGAGTCTCTTATGAAGGGACGCTATTTGGAACTGGGGCGCACGATGCCCCTCTTCACGTGACTTGCGGACCTGCGGGGCCCGCTACCGAGGGGCGCGGGCGCAGCTGAGGCGCCGGCGCGAAAGCTGCGAGGCGCCAGTGAGCAGCGGCGGCGCGAGCAAGGCGCCATGGCTGGCGGGGCAGCCACGTCGGGATGCTGCACGCGGGCGCCAGTTTGAGCCAAAACGGCAGCGGTAGCAAACATATGCGCACACACAACGGCAGGAGCAGCATGCATTGAGACGCTGTACTTGGTACTATCACATGCCCTGCCCTCAAGTACTTTCAACAACAACAGATGAACACATCTCGCGAACTCATCCGTATAATATTCCGCCTGCTTGCAATCCTTCCCTTTGCCTCGACATGCTTGTGGCTACCGTCACATCTACGCACTAATCCATCAGCCATCACGTTCGAGGACGAAGCGATACCCCATGGCTTCTTCACGCACTGTCCTTTAGTGCTTTTCAAGCCATATGCGCAGCCATGAAGTTGTATATTTGCCATTTTATGCTGGTTCAAAAATTCCTTCACGTGTGGATCGCGCCAGTATCGGCACGGGGTCGGCCACTCAAGGCAAATTCGGCCGTTTCTCTCGTCTACCTCCTGAGCCTAATCGCGAGATACCCATAACAGCTTTTTGAAAAGTGTTACGTGACCCCTCAATTTCTTAAGGGCTTCCTCGATGCCGGAGCGGTAATGTATGGCTTCACCCACGTATTGCCGTGGAGATCCGCCCGCACATGGTATTGAGATCCACCATATGTTTCGTTTGTCCGTGGCTTTGCCTTGCCTTTTTCACTTCTTGTTCGAATCCCTCGATTTTGGCCACGGCAAACTCTTCGCCTTCTTTGGTGGTCATGTCTTCGTTTTCAATCAAACGCACCACCGTGCAGTGTTGATCGGGAATGAGATCTTGACTCCCCGGCTGGTTGTTAGGCCCACAGCAAAACTCTATGAATAGGCGTTGTCGGGATGTTTCACTGGAACCTACTGCGGCATCTGGAGCAGCAACTATAGCATGGCTACGCGTGACACCCCCGTGTTCATCAGCCGCCTCCGCCGGCGTTCCCGCTCGGCAATGAACCCTGCGGTTGGCGGGTGCCACAGCGGAGGGCTTTCCATTGTTTTGACGTTTGGGATTATTCTTGGCCTTCTTGCTGGGAATATTGCCGCCGTTTCGAAGTTTGGACTGCGCGCCGAGCTTCGGCTTGAGATTCCCCCTGGGCCCCGGGGGAAGACCCGCATCGCCTTCGAAGAGGGAGTCCAAATACTTCTGGTAGGACGGGGCTGTCCTGAAGGTCGGGGACACGACCTGCACGAGATAGGGCACCTTGGCCAACGAAGGAGGCCGCTCGAATCTTTTCGCGCCTATGTCCGCGGCCTGGTCATGTGTGGGACAGTAGACTAGGTTCACTGCGCCCCTTCCAAATTGTTCCGCTACAGCGGAAGCGTCGATTCGATGGGCACGCGGCAGGCGCACGCAGTTTTTGAGAGCCACCCGCCTTGCAAAGCATCACGACCGCTCGGTTATATTCCATGAACTCTGCCCTCGGCGCGCGACAGAGTAGCATCTCCCATACAGGAAGTGCCGGCAAAAATTCTCTTCTGAGCGCTTCATCGGCTGAGACAACTTCCGCGTCAAAATTCTAAAGTGCCATGAGACACCGCTGTCTGTCTGCGGGAATTACAACTCTGAAGCGCGCGCGTGTTCTCTCCCCACAAAAATTGTGCGTTCGCGCTGGTACTGCGATGCGTGCGTATGTCACTTATCAGATCGGCATCTGCAAGTTGGCGCATCCACGCGCCCTCACGGCGATCTCCCACCCAAGACACCAGGCGGTAGTGAGTCGTGGCCTTCAGATAGCAAATAATGCGGAACAGGTCTATATCTTGTTGTTCCGTCCATTTAGTGACGCACGCAGCTGTCTTGCAGACAGCATTGAGCAGGTCAG